ATTGACTATAGTGATACTTGTTCGCCACTTGCAAAACTGAAGTCCATTTGGATTTTGCTTGTTATAGCTGCATAATATGATTATGAGATTTGACAAATGGATGTCAAAACCCTTTTCCTTAATGGAAACCTCGAGGAGGAGATGTACATGGTACAACCTGAAGGTTTTTTTTAATCCAAATCAAATTCTAATTCAATATGTTAATTGGAGAAATCTATTTATGGGCTAAAATAAGCCTCTAGGAGTTGAAATATTAATTTTGATGAAATAGTCAAATCGTTTGACCTCATCAAATGAAATGAGTGTGCTTGCGTGTTTAGAGTGCGCAACAAGGATAGCGTGGTCTTTATAATCATATATGTTGATCATAGAGAATGATATCTCCTCATTGAAGTCCGTGAAAGAATGGTCACCTAAAATCTTCATGAATATCTTTTGTCAATGGTAGACAGAAAGAACTAGTAGAATTTAATTATTCTAGCACTAGTTTTATGTATGATGAGAAAGACTACGAGTCACAGTCAGTATATGTTTTTAGTCTCAATGTAACAGTAATGCTGCAAGAGTTGCAAGTAAGAAACTATTGTAAATTCGACAACTAGAGCCTAGTAAATTGTTGCATTTGATGCAACATAGGTAAGCGTTTAGATATGTTAGTTCCTTACAGAAATAGGGGTAGTTCCTAGCGACAGTTATCCAATAATTGTTATTGTGACTGTACCGGTGCATTTGCACAAGCTACGGAACCAAGATGCAAAGTAAGGAACTAGAAAACACCAGTATGCTATCATGTTTTGATAACAAATAGCAAGATGAGAAGCTGCAATAGAATGCCTTCCCGTAGAGGACAATTTGCCTGACCCATTCACCAAACCTTTGAGCTGCGAGAAACATACTAGACATTTTGAGAATCTAGGTGTTAGATGTATTGATGATTGGCACTAGGCCAAGTGGGAGATTGTTAGTATATATGTCCTAGCGACAATCATTTTTTTAAAGACATATGTACTTGATCACATTTAGTTTTTATATTTGATATATACACGGTATTACACTTTATTAATGATTGTTTTCGATTGTCAATGTTTTATTCATAATTGTGTTCCCTTGGATTTATGTTGTCAATAAGTAAGTGTGAGCTTATATGATATAACATAAGGTCCTAAAATAGCCCCAATCAATGATCATCAAGAATGGGATATTGATGATATGCGATAAGATTGGTATGTGGACTGCATCATACTTTTGGAAAGTATAGTTGATCTCACGACTATGAGTTCCTGTAATTCATGATGGTCACATAGATATTTTAGAGAATATTGACATACCCACCGAGAAACCATTTGATAAGTTCTATTCATGTGTCTATGGGATTATCGGCGTATAGAGTAGTGTAATAGTCCTCCGACTTGAGGTCAATACGTACTACATGTGCGGAGTGATGTACTTTGACCATGACCAACGCTTGCACTCCAATCGGGGTAGATACGACATGTGTTGGGTGCATCACGAAGCACATGGAGTAGCAGTTGAGCCAAGAAATGATTCATTCCTCATAATAGATTAAGAGAGAACATTCTACTTCTCATGTCTAGATGGATCATAAAGTCATTGGCCAATGCAAAGATATATTCGTTTTGGATATCGAATATGATCGTTATGGATCATCTAGAAAGATTGAGAGACAGAGACTGAGTTATTGGGATAGACACTATATCATGTTCCAGACATAATTCAAAGAATGAAAGGACCGTATCACTATGAGCTCTATATTACAGGGAGTTTGAATAGTCCTCGCAAACGTCCTTATATATTAAGATTGTCTGGTAAATCGTCTAGGGATTCTACTAAGACCTTAATTTGATTAGTGCTTAATATATAAGGCCCTATGGGTCACACAATAAGTGATTATACCTTCCGATTGAATTGTTAGAGGGAATTAAATATTATTAATTGGATTAAATAATATTTAATTCATAATACTGAAAATGGATTAAATATTAATTAGATTAAATATATTTAATTCATGATGTTGAAGGAGTGTTCTATTTGATAGAATTAATTAAGTGTGATAAATTAGATTTATTATACTTAATTAAGATGTATTTATTATTTAATAAAGTTGATATTTTCTTTTGTAGTTTAGAATTAAAAAGAAAAGTAAATAAACTAAATAATAATATATATAATAAATAGAGAGTGGCGTAAGACCACTTCTCTATTGTGGTTATTATTATTATTATTATTATTATTATTTTGGTTTGTTTTATCTACTTATTTAATCAATAAGGAGTATTGGTCCTAGCGGGATTAGGACTCATTAATTAGAAAGACTTTCATTGTGATTGAGAAACTAGTTTAGAACTAGTATAAATACATCAACCTCCTTCATAATTATAGACTAGTTTTAAGATTCAGTATTACCAGTTTATTTCCCTGCGAAGAGATTTCCTAGCCTTTCTCTTAGGAAGATCTAACCGTTCTTTCGGAAAGGAGAAATCACGTGGATACCAAAGGTCAAGGATTATCACCGCTAGGCTGGGAGATCTGTAAGTTCTAACTCAGATCTGTTATTATTATCATATTCGTTATTTTGTCATAATCAGGGAAGATCTGTTTGGGAAAATTTTTAACTTCCGCTGCCGTACTTTCGAGGTACGTTACATCAATTTCCTAACAAGTTGTGTGCGGGCAGTTTCCACCATGTGCACCCTTCGCTCCGTTGCATTCTGTGCGTCCATGTTTTGTAGTGTCTCTGTCAACACCCTCATAATCCATGGGTCTGTGTGAATGCCGTTTGGGATGAGGCGGGTAAGATCCCCCAAAGCTCCCATTCTGGAACTGACCGTTCACTATCCGAAGGTTCATGAGACGCCTCACTTCGAGATGCCCTCTTATTGTACCACTTGAGATTAATTTAAAACGATTAATACGACTACTCATACTAACAAAGGTGCATCTCCTTTTAAGGGAGCTCATCACATAAGAACTCCGAGTTAAGCGTGCTTGCACGAAAGTAGTCTTGGGATGAGTGACCTCTTGGGACTTTCTGAGGGCGCGCACGAGTGAGGACAAAGTGTGCTGTAAAGACTCGTGGTGGTTTGTGAGGACAGTACTAGATGTTAAAAGTAACTATCTCGGGGCCTGCGGGGCTGGTGTGTTACAAATGGTATCATAGTAACCATGCGACAGTGTGCTGTTCCGTTGGATATCGGGCGGGCACTTAGCAGGGGAAGATTATGGGATATCATTGAGATTGAATTAGTTTATGGGCGCAACGAGGACGCTGTGATCCTAAGTGGGGGCGAGTGTAACATTTGAGATTAATTTAAAAGGATTAATAGTACTACTCATACCAACAGAGGTGCATCTCTTTTTAAGGGATCTCGTCATATAAGAACTCTGAGTGAAGCGTGCTTGCACGGGAGTAGTCTTGGGATGGGTGACCTCCCGGGAAGTTTCTCATGGTGCGCACGAGTGAGGACAAAGTGCGCGGTAAGGCTCATGGTGGTTTGTGAGGAAAGTACTAGAGGTCAGAAGTAACTACCTCGGGGCCTGCGTGGCCGGGGTGTTACACCTACCGTGTAGGCACTCAGATAGGTCCCCAATTTGGCTATAAGACCACCGTCCATTTCTTGGTGCTGGTGTTTTTTTTTTATCAAAGATGCTGCCTAGCACAAAGAGCTTACTCGTGATTTTTTTGTTGAAGTTAAGTTCCCCTCTCTCCAAAGGTCCAACATAGTCCTTTAGATTTTTGTTTAATCATTTATATGTGGATTATTTTAGTGAGTAGCTAGCAAATAGATGGTAGTCTGTAGGGGTGGGCAAACAGGTACATGAATTGCAGGACAAGACAGGTAATATGGGTTCATGACGGATTTGAGTTGAGTCCTAATTTTTGAAAACCTAAACACAATAGGGCGGGTCCTAACAAATTTAGGTACCGCATGGGTATTAGAATTTTAAAAACAGGTACCCGGACCGACCTGCTTTATTTTTTAAAAAGTTCATTAAATTAAATACTCCCTCCAGTCCTTATTAAACTTTACAGTTTGACTTCACACATATTAAGGAAATAAATTTGACTTTACTGTAGAGTGTACTGTTTGACACTGTTTGGCACTGTTTGACACTGTTTGGTACTGTTTTGCACTGTTTAGTGTAGATTTGTTTGCCAAATAAGGCAAATAAGGAAGTGTAAAGTTTAATATGGGACGACCCAAAAAGGAAAGTGTAAAGTTAATTAAGGACCGGAAGGAGTATAATATACTAACACCACCCGGAATTTTTCATACTCATGAATTATTAAAAAGAGTTTCTAAATCCAAACAAACATCTAAATTATTATTTCCAATTCTGATTCCAAATGCATCAAATTTTCTTAACTTAAAGAAAGGATCTTGCTCAATAAAGTGTGACATGTTAATTTAATTGTCTTAATTTTATTTACATTCTGAGATTTATTAAACTTTAAATTGTTTTCTTAAATGTATATGTATATTGACTAGTCTAATTTATTATGATTGTGATGCTATTTTTTAGTTTATGGATGTCGATGTCTTATTTTCCACACCCTGCCGGGGTGTGGCGGGCGAACCAATTGATCGAGCCTCGGTTGGGTTCCTAGCATGGAAGTTAGGCCGATTGTTATGATTGGGCCGTTGGAAGTATTTGGGTCCGCCCGCAGCTGGACCCAATAACCCAACACATATTTAATCCTATTTTTGATATTAATCCAATTTCTTCTATTTAAATTAGAAGAATTATCCACATGTACTCCCTCCGTCCCGAAAAGGTTGACCAAATTTTCTTTTTTGGATGTCTCAAAAAAATTGTCATTCCCATTTAAAGTAACGAATATGTGGCTAAAATTAATTATATTTACTCTGCACAAATTTCAATCATACATTTTTTATTTTATTAATGCACGTGAAACTCAACTTCGGGTAACATTTTGGAACAAGAGAGTATACCCTATGCAGTCACACATTTATTGCTTTATTGCTGGGTAATTATTTACTCGGCTCACATTCTCTTCTCCAAATTGTCAGTGCTCAGTATTATCGGCAATTTAGTTGCAGAATCCCATTTCTCTCTCCCCTTTCAGTCCATCCGCGCCGTTCACCTTCCTAGTATCTGCTATTCACCCCGTAATCTTCTCTGCTCTTGCCAATAGCATACGGTTGATCACTTCTTCTTGCTGACCAATTCTCGTGTAACAGTGTGTCACTCTTGCTACTCCTGCTCGTGTATTTCAATCCTAGAGAATAAGGTACTCTCTTCTCCTTCCTCATTTCTCGGAGAATTTTTTCTTATTTAAGCTGGTATAGGATTTCTTGGTTCTCCTTTAATAGATCTGATATTTATGCTCTTCCTCACTTCTTGTTGTCTTTAATTTCTGTAATTTGGAGTGGAAAAAAGCGGAGAGGTATTTATCTGATTCTTAATTGTATTTCTATAGGTCTGTTATTGAAATTATCTTCCCAGTTGAGGAAGGAATACATTTGGGTGGTTTCATTCTCCGGCTGTTCTGGAGTGCTTATCGAATATATTGAGGGCCCTACGGATGGGTTCCTGCTGGTCTTCTGAGAGCAGCAGGAGCCCCCTCCGGACGGGTTCTCCTATTGGGATTCAGAAGAGGAAGAACTTTAAGAAGAGGAGATCGGCTTCTCGGAATTCTTCCTTTGACCATAGGCGGGAGGAACACTTACATCGGGTCTCAGGTCGTCGGTTCTTGAATGGATCCAATGAGGTCGCTGCCCTCTTCACTCAGCAGGGAAAGAAAGGAACTAATCAAGATGCAATGGTTGTTTGGGAGGTACATATGAATCGAAATATTTTTTCTACGGTGTTCATCTCCACTCTGATAGTTTGGACTAGGAATTGATGAGGAAAAATAAATGTAAGGAAGTTAGTGAGAAAATTTTGAAGAAAATAAAATGTGCCTGAAAATAAAAACATAAACCCTCTAAAATTCAACTTATGTTATTAGATGTGTGAAAATTTACTTTAGTCCACCGAGAGGTTTCGAGTCCAAGTCTTAGGAGTGGGCTTCAAATTGGTAACTGAAGGCCTGCCTCGTGGAGGGGCCCTTCCATGTAGCTCTCATTGAGTAGATGCCATTACGCCAATGTATATCGGTCTGGCCTATTTTATTAACTTATGATGTTTTTATTTTCAATTTGTGCAAGTATCAGTTAGTATCCCAGCTGCTTTTGCATTGTAGTTCATAGTCAGTGTTGTAACTGCAATCTAATAAAAAGGATCTCGTTAAATCTTACTTGAGAATTGTCAGATCATTAGGATCAAGTTGAAGTTTCTAAACATTCAGTTGCATCATTAAGCTATGCATGAGGTCTTATAATTTCTAAACCTTGAAAACTAATACTCCTTCAGTCTTGAAAAGGAGTTTTGATGTGAGTTTTCTCGTACTTAAAATAATTACTGATTGATAGTATAGGATTAAGTACTAATATCGTCTCGATCGAAAATGGGAATTAAGTGTTAAAATATTTTCAGCAATTTCAAGTGCATGAAATTCAAAACGATTGTGCGAGATTTGTTTGAATACTAAATTCAATGAAAACATATTAAAATAATTTGAACTCACCGTTGAATGACTAAAGGGAGAATGGATTCGTTCTAGGGCATACAGATTTCAGGAAATTTAATCACATGAAAATTCTATGATTGAACAATGGAATTAATATTAAGTTCATACCAATCTCGCGGCGTAGGGTTCAATGATTTCGAGAACAAGTTTGATTTGTCATGCGACATGCCTATAGATGGTTGCCAAATGAGCATCGTGCAGTTCTCCTAGACGTGCTAATCTCTTATCGAGTGATAAGGTGTGTGTCAAAGTTCCTTAGAAACAATTTAGATCTCTCAAAAATTGTTCTACATGCGATATTGCGATTATAATCTAAGTAGCACCGGTACGGAAACGGAAACCGGGACGGAAATGGGGACGGGGAAACCTTAATCTGAAAAATTAAGGGTATGGGTACGGTGAGGAAACGTCGCACCAAAAACTAAAGTATTCGTAATAAAACCAAATACATCCATAGAGCTTATCTAAAAATGAAGAGAAAATAATTTTTTTTTTACAATTACATTTTATTGGTAAACTAATGGACTGAAAAAGCAAAATAAAAATCACTTTATTCACTAAACTTTATACTTTTTAAGAAATTTATTTATTTAAATAAACTTTTTTACTAACTGAACAAAACAAAAAAAAGAAAAAAAGAAAAGCAACTCAATCCACTAAACTTTATACGGAGTACTTTATTCACAGCCGCACACTCCCGCACAGTTTAATACTAGAGGCGACAAGGCGACAACTGCAATCGAAGGGCGAAGGGCGATTAACTGCGGCTGGCAGCTGGCAGCTGGCGGCTGCAATCGGCGAAGGCTGGCGGGCTGGCGGCTGCAATCGGCGAAGGGCGAGGACGAAGTGCGAAGCTGGCTGGAGGCGAGACGGAACTGGATCTCTGGGTGAAGCTGGTTGGAGGCGGACGATTAAGGTTAGGTTGGACCGCTGCATTTTTTTTTCTAAATTTTGGGCCGGAAACGTTTCTATGGGCTGATGTGGCATTTCCTCAAGCATTTTTGGATCTACACCCGACCCAAAAATGGGTCGAGACGCCGGTCGACGTTTCCTGGCCGTTTCCGCGCGTTTCCAGACGTTTCCCGTTTCCGGGACGTTTCGGAAGCGGAACCGTGGACCATTTTGGCGTTTCCGTGCTTCCTAGATTATAATCCTAGTGGTCGTTTTAGGTTATAAACGATAACACTTGATTATCGAGACACAAATATTACAAAAATCATGTCATCACCCCTCAAGAACAAAATCCCAGATCATAAAAATGCCTCTTCACAAAACTTAAATCCCTGAATAAAACTACTCACAAATTCACAATTCATAATTGAACGAACAATTAAATTGGAAGGTCAAAATTTATCAATGATCGAAAGAATGAAATTACATCTGAACCCCAACATATGTTCTAGAGCTAAAAATCTATGAAAGAGTCTTATGTAATTCGTTCCTAAGCTTTGTTCTTTAAAATCGGGGTCTAAGCCCTCTCTAAATAGGAAAAATCTCGATTTTGAGCTGAACTAGGCCGCACACGATGTGCGTGTGTCCGTGCACACAAATATACGTTGTTGTAACCCGCACATGACGTTCTCATGACCACGCACTAGGTAGAAACTTTGGTCGTGGAATCCTGACTTATAGTTTCAAAAAGAGTCCTATTGTTGTCTAAACATAAGTTACTTGATAATAGGGAGCTAGTTTTCATGTAATTTTACAAAAAAACGTTTATAGACAAGTTCAATATGATAATTTTAGTGTAACATTAAAATATACTAGTATAAAACCCCGGGGCAATGCCCCGATAGCACGCCAAATTGAAAAGGATTAAAATGAAAAATACTACTCCGTAATAGATACTCTGAATTACTCATAGGATCCAAATTTGAATATAATGCATTTTTTACTATGATCTGATCTAACCACAACCAATAATAAATTTGTATTTGTTAAATGACTATGTCTAAATTTATTCATCATCATATATTATATATTAGGGAAAAGGGTCAGATTGGCCCTCGAACTTTTATAAAAAGGTCAAATAAGCCCTTATATAAGAGGCTTTGTCCGACCGTAGCCATTTGGGGCGGTTCCCGGTGGAATTTTTTGATGAAATGTTTTGAGCATCTTATTCATTAAGTCTAGTTTACTCATATCAAATTCCAGCTAAAACTTCAATCCGGAAGGCATTCAAATGAATTTTTGAAGATAACTGCGCAGTTAAAAGCGCAGTTATCTTCAAGAATTCATTTGAATGCCTTTCCGATTGAATTGTTATCTAAAATTTGGTATGAGTAAATTAGACTTAATGAATAAGGAGTTCAAAAAATTTCATCAAAAAAATCCACCGTGAACTGCCCCAAATGGCAACGACCGGACAGAGCCTCCTATATAAGGGCTTATTTGATCTTTTTATGTAAATTTGAGGGCCCATTTGACCAATTTCCCTATATATTAATACTCTTTAGTCTATATCAAGATTTTTTACTACGGTACCATTGCAATTGCGATTACTGCGATTGCAGCTATCGCAGCCTTTGCGATGTGTATTGCCGTTGATGCAGTGTAATTTAATTTTATGTTTGAATGAAATAAGAAAAAAATGGTGTTGATGCCCTGATACGATCCAATATAACCCCGTTGTGGTCATATTGGATCAATAATTAAGCATATTATGTAGATGTTACAAATTAACTAAATGATGTGATGTAAAAGTATGAATTATTTTTTATATTGTATGAACATTTGCATCATTTAATGAGTTAAACAATGATTGTAAAAGTAATGTTAACATGTATTATGCGATGTCAATAAGAGAGTCACACATAGCATTTCATAACTCAAGTTAACTATATCGATTAACAAATAAGAATAGATAATAAGCAATGCGGTGTTTTAGACATTTTTTGGGAAAAAACTTAAAAATGTAAAAATTAATTACGAAATCATAATTTTAGGTTTTGAACTTACTTAAAAATGTTTTGGGCTTTATTGACAAAAGAAGTTCTAATCCTGAACATCTCCACCAACTCGATCTTCAGATTTTTTTACATATGCAATATTGGTGTCATATGAAAGATCATAAAAAGTTACGAATTTTGATATATTTCTTATAAAAATTGGAGTATAAATAAAAAAGTTATAACACTTTAAAAATAATAGATTTTTTCCTCTCTTTTCTCTAAATGAGTTGGCCTGATTAAGGTGAATAGCTAATGCAACATGATGTTAAAAAAAAGCTAATGCACCGTGAACTTGGGAGAAATAGTGAAATGTTTTAGTTAGAGTGAGATAATTAGAATGCGGTGTTTTAGACATTTTTTGGGAAAAAACTTAAAAATGTAAAAGTTAATTATGAAATCATATTTTTAGGTTTTGAACTTACTTAAAAATGTTTTGGGCTTTATTGACAAAAGAAGTTCTAATCCTGAAAATCTCCACCAACTCGATCTTCAGATTTTTTTTTACATATGCAATATTGGTGTCATATGAAAAATCATAAAAAGTTACGAATTTTGATATATTTCTTATAAAAATTGGAGTATAAATAAAAAAGTTATAACACTTTAAAAATAATAGATTTTTTCCTCTCTTTTCTCTAAATGAGTTGGCCTGATTAAGGTGAATAGCTAATGAGACATGATGTTAAAAAAAAAGCTGATGCACCGTGAACTTGGGAGAAATAATTAAATGTTTTAGTTAGAGTGATAATTAGAATTTTTAGTAACGAATGACAGATTGACACATTATTCATTTATAACTCAGTTTTACTATATAAAACAATAGATAATTTTTTTTATGTATGCAATATTGGTGTCATATGAAAGATTATAAGAAGTTATAAATTTGGATGCATTTCTTATAAATATTAGAGTAAAAAAGAACATCATTAGCACTCTTTAAAAAATAATTTTTTCTTCTTCCCTTTCATCAAATACCTTGGTGTGATTAAATTGAATAGTAGTAATGTACCGAGTGAATAACAGTGATGCACCAAGTGAATAGCAGCGATGCACTGATTGAACTTAAATTTAAATAAATATTTTAGTAGTATGTAATGATAATAAAATATTTATCAATCAATAAGAGACTGACACATCATTGTTTTAAAATTAAGTTTATTATATAATTTTTTTCTATATGCAATATTGTTTTAATATGAAACATCATAAAAAGTTATGAATGCTAATGTATTTTTTATAAAAATTTGGCGTACAAATAAAAAAATTATAATACTTTAAAAAGGAGATTTTCTCTTTCCTTTCTCCAAATGAATAGTGATACACAGAGTGAATAGGAATGATGAACCTAGTCAACTTAAATGAATTATATGTTTTTGTAGGAGTGAGAATAGATTATTATTAATAAATAGAATTCTAACTCATTTTTACTATATAAAACTACACATAATATTTTTTGTTTTTATATATGCAATATTGGTGTCATATGAAAGATCATAAAAATTACGAACTTTGATATATTTTTTTGTAAAAATTGGAGTGTAAACACAAAAGTTATAATATTTTTTTGCAACACACAAATGTTTAATCCATATTTTATCTTACTTTCCCCCCTCCTTGTCCGTCTCTCTCTGTTTGGCATCGATATCATAGATCAATTCATGTTAACCGACACAAAAGTTATATCAATTGAAAAGAGAGATTTTTTTGCTCCAACTGAACTGTGTTTCACACAGAGTAATAGTAGTGGTGAACGCATTGAACGGTGAATTAATTAATTGCTCTAATAGTAGTGATAAAAGAAAGTGCATTACCCAATGAGAGACTGAGACATCATTGTTTTTTAACTCAGTTTTACTATATAAAACAATAGATATTACTACCTCCGTCCCACTAACATTGGAACATGAGGGGTGACACGCTTATTAAGAAAAGTGGATTTATGTGATTGATATTACATTGATAAAGTAGAATAAAGTAAGAATGGTTTAGAACCACACAAAATTTACCAAATTTGGTATGAGACGATATTAGTGGGATGAAGGAAAGATGAGACAATCTCGGCGAGACTGAGGGAGTAATAGATTAAGGGGGTGTTTGGATCTGATTCTTAAAACTGCTCCTGCTCCTTAAGGGAGTAGAAACAGAAGTTGAAGTGTTTGAGTGGAAGTGCATAAGTACTTCTAGTGCCTTAATGTACTCATAGAATCAGTTTTTTTAGAAGCTGGGGGAAACCATGATAACTAATTCTGATTTTGCTTCTGCTTAAAAAAAGCAGAAGCATAATCAGTTCCAAACACCACCTAAATAGGATCCCGTATCTTTTAAGAGGTTTTGTAAATGTTTTTTGTCTAATAAAGATTCATATTTTATAAGTGTTGCTAATATTTCATGTAATTTTCGAAAAAAGTACAGAAAATCTCAATATGTAAATTAGCCTAACAAAAATTAAATATTAGAAAAGAAAGTAGGATCCCCTTGACTTGTAAGAGTTGTACCTTTTTCAAATAAAGTAAAAATGTACATTGATCAAAATCAGCTTTGTTTTTCGGGGAAGGAGTAGCTAGTGTGCTTGTATCCTCCTTGCTCTATTCACTCGAGTAACTAGAGAGTAATATTTTAGCAGTTTATTTAAGAGTTATTAGAGCGTTCTAGGTGAGGTCGAAAAGTCACTGATATTAACATTGCTAGTAAATGTTTTCAGAATTTTGGGTCAAGAACAGATACAGTATTTTGTGGTGTTTTTGATGGGCATGGTCCTCATGGTCATATGGTAGCGAAGAGAGTTAGAGATTCACTTCCCTTGAAATTGAGTGCTCACTGGGAAGTCAATATTAAAAGTGAGGATGTTCTTAGAGAGCTCAATCTGAATTCGGTCGGTAGTCTTAACTCTCTGGACTCTTCATTCCTAGCTGTCGATGATCTCCCAAGGGCTTCTACTGACATTGAAGAAACCGAAAAGCACCCAGATATCTTTCAGACTTTGAAGGAATCTTTCTTAAAGGCTTTTAAGGTCATGGATAGGGAACTAAGGTCCATTACGAACATAGATTGCTTCTGTAGTGGAACTACTGCTGTTACTCTTGTGAAACAGGTAATTCTGACAAACTGTGGCATTACTGGGGTTGTACTTCGTTGCACTGTTCTTACCTATTATCCTGTTTGGTAAGGCCTAAAATAACTAAATTTCTGAAGTTGTAATTGAATCATCTAATATATACTCCCTCCGTCCCTTACATAAAAGGTCAAATAAGGCCTTATTTATGGTCAAATATTTATTAGTTTGATATATTTTTTATGTGTAAGGATGTTTTCTTCTGGATTGTTTTCAGTCCCCGATCATATCAGACCAGACCAGACTTAAACAGATCAGACGAGCCTTGGACAGATATAAAATACACAGAGACGAGACATTTATAAGACCAGTACAGACCAGACTAGACCGGAAAATTTAGTCCAAAAGAAAACATCCTAAACGGTTTAGCGATGAAATTTGCGTCGATATGATACTATTAGTTTTTCAAAAATTTCTAGAATCAAACCAATGTTGGAATAGTGGTTCCTAGTTTTCTTTCAAAGAATCAAACCGATCTCACCCTACATTTTTCTTCGTAAGATGATGTATAAAAAATCACTTTTTTTATTTTAATTTAAGTTTATCTTGTATATTAGTATTGATGTAGAATATCTTTGTTGCATAATATTTATTGTAAAATGATAAAAATCAGATTTTAATTTACAAACCTTGCATATAGAGACCATCGTGGTACCGATCTCTCGACCCGGTACTAGTCCAGGACCGGTTGACCTGTTCATGATCTCGGGTAAATAATAGCCAATTCTGATTTGATTATGCAATCGAGTCTATGCGTACTTGTGACTAGTGGAAGAGAAGTAAAAGTCCACGGAAATCTTTGGTGAGGAGAAGAAACAATTGCGAATAATTAATGTAGTAAGAACGACTTAAAAGTCCATGACAATCCATGATTTTTAAAGTCCATAAAAATGGATAGAAGTTTGAATAAGCCTAGACATTTTTAGATTTTTAAAAGTCTACATTGAATACACCTAAACTTTTACAATTTTTGCACTTTTAAAAATTTGCCACTAATTTCTTATACAATACACCCCCTTAATCATTTAACTCGTCAGAAACTATTAATGGACCATCAACTAAAGATTACTTTGAAATGGTGTCAACATCAAATAATGAACCATCAAATATTTGATTATTTGATCAAAGTTTTGATTGGGTAAATGACCAAATTTGTTCCCGAATAGTAGCTCCTTATCACTTTCATCATGTATTGAAATAGTTGATATTATCAAAAGTGATTTGTATAGTACATACTTACTTCGTTCTTTTTTAGTTGCAACATTCCCATTTTCACGCTTGTCAATGCACAACTTTGACAGTCATTATATTTAATCCTCATTACAAATTATGAAAATTTGTAATAAGATGAATTCAACAATATTTTTCAAAAAAATAATAATTCTCATACATAAATAAATCAAATGTAGTTGAAGTAGAATATGTGAATAGTGTAAAAATTTTATGTTGCATCTTAATAGAATTTAAGATAGAGAGAATGAGGAAGAAGGATTATTCTCATTAACTGTAATGAAGAGTACATAGAGTATTTATAGAAAGCTACCGCTCAACTGAACTAACTAACTAAAGTACAACTAACTTATACTAATACAATTCGTATAGTATATCTAACATTCCCCCCTCAAACTTAGGGTGATTTTGCTGGAGATGCAATCACACTAAGTTTGGTTCTTAAATCAATGAAGGATGAAGCAGACAAAGGTTTTGTTAGAATATCAGCCAGTTGAGCAGGAATGTGAAACACTTGCAATTGCTTCAGTTGAACTTTCTCTCTTACAAAAAATAGATCAATCTCCATATGCTTAATGCGAGAGTGTAAAACAGGGTTGTGAGCAAGCTGAACTGTGCTTTGATTGTCACAATATATCTTTGGAACTGTAAAGGGAACCTTTAGTTCATGGAGCAGAAATTGAACCCATAGAAGTTCAGCTGCTGTATCAGCCATGCTTCTGTACTCAGCTTCTGCTGAGGATCTGGCAACACGTAATTGTTTCTTGGACCACGAGGAAATGATATTGGGACCAAGAAAGGTACAAGATCCTGGTGTGGATTTTCTGTCAGTGGGATCAGAGGCCCAATCAGCATCACAAAATGTTGAAATGGGTAGAGACATGGTAGATAAATGAATGAGTTTGATGAGAATTCCATGTGTAATTGTGCCAAACAGATAACGTAGTATGTGCTTAACTGCTTTCCCATGATCTTGCAGAGGTGCGGCCATGAACTGACCTTATTAACTGCATAGCTGATCTCAGGTCTTGTTAGGGTAGCATACTGTAGAGTACCAACTACAGATCTGTATAAAGAAGGATCAGGTAAGGATTCACTCCCTTCATGAGTAAGTTTGCAAGTGCTAATCATAGGAGTCATGACTCCTTTAGAATCTTTCATTCCAGCTTGATGCAGTAAATCTCTAACATACTTTGCTTGAGAAAGATGTAGGCTTCCATCTTGAAGCTTCTGGACTTGGATTCCTAAAAAGAAATCAATGTCTCCTAGGTTTTTAAGAGAGAAGGAGGAGTTTAATTTGCTGACGAGAGTGTGAATAGTTGAAGAGTTGTTGCCAATGACGAGTATGTCATCAACATAGATAAAAATGTATATTAGAATGCTAGAAGATGTAAACAGAAGTAAAGAAAGATCACACTTGCTTTGCTTGAACCCAATATTTTAAAGGGTTGAAGTCAGTTTGTGGAACTAGGATCTAGATGTATGTTTCAGGCCATATAGGGATTTGTGAAGTCTGCAGACTAAAGATTTAGTATCTTTTGTTTGAAAGCCTGGAGGTTGTACCATATACACTTCTTCACTCTTCACTGAGGTCACCATTAAGGAAGGCATTATTGACATCCAATTGTTGGATAGTCCACTGATGAGATACAACAAGGGTAAGGAGTATTCTGATTGTGATGGGCTTGACAACAGGTGAAAAAGTTTCTCCAAAATCAAAACCATGTCTCTATGGAAACTTTTAGCAACTAATCTTGCTTTAAATTTGTTCAAAGAGCCATCTGCATTTTCTTTCACTCTGAACACCCATTTGCAACCTATAGCCTGTTTATCTGGAGGAAGAGGAACTAAAGACCAAGTATTGTTAGAAATCAATGCATCATATTCAGATTTCATTGCAGCGGGGAGAAGAGAGTGCTTGCTTGACTGATCTAGGCTCAACGTGGGCTAAAAGTAAGGTTGGATTAAGTCGAGGTTTAATAATTCCTGATTTGGCTCTAGTTTGCATGGAATGAGTGTTAGTCAGTTCGTTTGTGAGTTTGATTCAGATGAATTTGAATGTAATGGAGAATGAGTAGGTTGGTTAGGAGATTGCGTATGATCTGATTGAAAGAAATCAGTTTGAGATGAAGAAGAAATAGGAGAAGATGATAATGATTTTGATTGAGATTAATCACAAGAAAGTGGAAAGGAATTGGGCTGAACTAGGGGTGCAAATGAGCCGAGCCGCTCGTGAGCCGCTCGTGAGCCGCTCGTGAGCCGCTCGTGAGCTGCTCGGTCAAAGCTCGAATCGAGTTCGGTCAAACTCGAGCTCGAGCCGGCTCGTTAAGCAGTCGAGCCATAAACGAGCCTACTAATTTTAGGCTCGCGAGCCTAGTTTTCTGTGTGTATATTTATATATTTAATATAAATATATATAATATTAATATAAATTAATATATAATATATTAGTATATATAATATATATAATATAAATTAATATATATATATATATAATATCGATTGGTAAATGTATGAGGATTGGGGAGATATTATATTTTTCGTTCCCCCAACCCTAGTTTCAGTTAAATCATCATGGTTTGATCATTTTTTATTTATTTTGGACAACATTTACTCTACTTTTAGTTGTTGGGCATGTAAATTTCAATTTGCAAATACTAAGCACAAATATTCAAAGATTGTTTCATACTTGAGCTCGAGTTCGAACCCGAACTTTCAAGCTAATCGAACTTGTAACATTTGAGTTGACGAACCAAAATTATCGAGCCGAGTCGAGCCGAATCGAGCCATGTCAATATTTGCGAGTCGAGATCGAGCCCGAATTTTTTAAGCTCGTTCGAGCTGAGCTCGAGCTCGAGCCAATACAATATATTTCGAGCTCGAGCTCGAGCCTACATAAACTCGGGCTCGGCTCGGCTCGTTTGCACCCCTAGGCTGAACAATGGTAATGGGAACAGATTGTAAGGAGGATGTAGCATGGGGCTGATTGACTAGATTGATAGTTGAGGTGAACAGTGTAGGATAAGGAAATTTAGACTCATTAAAGACTACATCTCTGGAGATATAAACTTTTCCAGATGGGGAGAGACATTTGTAACCCTTATGCTGTGAGGAATAGCCTATGAACACACACTCTTCAGAGTGAAAATCCATTTTGTGTTTATTGTAGGGTCTGATAAAATGAAAACATGAACATCCAAATACTCTAAGGAAAGAGTAATCCGGAATAGAACCATATAGCTTAAAATATGGACTGGAATTTGCAATTGAATTTGAAGGAGTTCTATTTATAAGATTGACTGAAGTTGCAAATGCAGTATCCCAGAACTTGTGAGGTAAAGAAGAGTGGGTCAGAAGAGACGGACCTTTCTCAACAATGGTTCTATGTTTTCTCTCAACTACACCATTTTGGTGATGAGTGTGAGGACAAATGATTCTATGCGTGATGCCTTTTTCTGTTAGAAATTTGGTGAAGGATCTGAACTCACCTCCCCAATCAGATTGAAGAGATTTAATTGAAGCAGAGAACTGATTAAGAACATACTGATAAAAAATTTGAAAGGCAATAAGAGCACCAGACTTCTTTTCAGGAAATAAATCCATGTATACCTTGTAAAGGCATCAATGAATGATATATAGTAAGAATATCCATCAAAGGATAACATGGGAGCTGGTCCCCAAAGATAGTGAAAATTAGTTCAAATGGTGAGTGAAAAATTGTATTGGAGGGAAAAGAGGGAAGTCTATGTGTTTTACCAAGACAACATGAAGAACACAAATCAATAGCACTTTTATTAGAAGTAGGAACATTACATTGTTGCATTACAGATTTGAGAGCCTCAAAATGAGGATGACCTAGCCTCAAATGCCACAGATTACAAGAAATAGAACTATTACAGGTCTGAATGTTATTACAGCATTTATTTTGTATAGGCTATTCCTCACAGCACCCAAAATGCCATGTAATAGAACCTTTTTAGAAGCCTGTGATTTAACAAAGCATTCATGAGCATGAAATTCAAAGAAAACATTGTTATCTCTTGCAAATTGACTAGCACTAAGCAAATTTTTGGTTATGGAAGGGACATGGAGAATATTGTTAAGTAAAAGAGTATGAAGGATGATAAGAAGAGGAAAAGGAAGAGTAACCAATCGACTTAATGTCCAAACCTTGACCATTGCCCATGAATGGCTTGTCAGATGTAGCACGTGGCTCACTATGTTGAATGTTGAGGGATCAGGTGTGACATGGTGTGAAGCTCCAGAATATGGAAACCAATTCTGAGCATTAGGAGCTGGTCCTAGCAAGGAAGAGTTTGCAGAAGCCCAGACTGCAGTTGGTACAGACTGATTTTGAGGTGGATGTGTAACAGGATGGATGCTTGATAGATCCCCAGTTGGTATGTTGAGGAGGTTGAATGGAATTAGGCATAGGAGAGTAGCTTGGTATTGGTGGAGTTGATTGTGAATGTGGATAAGGATTAGACATAGGATAGTAGTAATGTTGAGGTGATTGGGATTGAGGTTGATTTGGATATAGGATTGGTTGTTGTGGATAGGAGTGATAAGGATTTATAGATTGATTTGATGAGGTAGAATTGGAAACTGTATAGGCAGGATTATACCTGTGATAGCAAACAAGAGCACTATGGCCAACTTTACTGCAAACTTGACAAATGACGAACTGCGACCTCCAGATCTACCACCTCTGCCTCTGTTAAAACCGCCACGGCCTCTACCTCTATAGGTAGAATTTGTACCAGAATTATCATACTCAGCAAGTTGTGCAGATGGACTTTCAGTAGAGTTTTGAGAATCGGTATCAGTATTTTGAGGAGCTTCTTCAAGTTGAGCAACATTAGCAGAGAATAATGTCTGTTGTGAAGAGTCACGAAGTTTTCTCATTCGCAACTCTTTAGCCAGCAGGAGAGATTCAAGTTCGGACACTATTATAGGATCCAGAATGCTTCTAGATGCAACGGAAGATACGATTGAGTCATATTCCTCCGGAAGACCTTCAAGGATTACATTTATGTGATCCTTGCTGGAGATAGGTTTACCGACAGAGGTCAGATTATCAATGATGGTTTGAATACGAAGCAGATAATCAGAAATGGAACGATCACCTTTTCCGGTGTTGTATAGCTCAGATTTCAGCTGGCGAGCCTTCGCGACAATGTTTGATCGAAAGAAATGCTCGATTTCACTCCAGAGTTGATACGAAAACGTAAAGTTGATGACACGAGCATGAAGCGACTCGGAAAGAGATGCCAATAACCACGAAAACAGTATTTGATCTTGATGTTCCCAAACACAGTATGCTTCGTTGATCGTCTTTGTCGCACCATCGTCGCTCATGATAAATTGATCTGGAATTTGAGGATTTTCAATAAATTTCAGAAGTTTGTGTGCTCTAATCACAGATTTCACATGGTGTTTCCAGAATAAGAAATTGTTAGAGTCTAGTTTGATTGGTAAGTGATGATGGAAGATGATCGGAGAATTTTGAGAGGCTGATTGAGAGGTTGCAGAATCAGACGTCGAGTTCGGCATTTTTGGAACGCAGAAGCTCTGATACCATAATAGAATTTAAGATAGAGAGAATGAGGAAGAAGGATTATTCTCATTAAGTGTAATGAAGAGTATAGAGTATTTATAGAAAGCTACAGCTCAACTGAACTAACTAACTAACTGAAGTACAACTGGCTTATACTAATACAATTCGTATAATATATCTAACACAACTAAAAAGAAACGGAGTGTAGTACTACTATTATAATTAAACTTTTTTCCCTTCTTAAAATAAAATAACTACAATCTAGGAATCGAGTTTAATACATCATCATCATCATTACCCCAGTGCCGCAAAGGCTCCCACCTTCGGTGGGGTAAGGGAAGGTCGGATGTATGCAGGCTTACCCTTGTACTAAAGCATAAAGAGATTGTTTCCGGATGACCCACAGTGACAATCGCGTCGAAAAGATGCATGGACAGTTTAGTGAGTCGTTTTGCTTTATTCCATCATATTCCCAAGTGAAAGATAGTGAGTCTTTGGCTCCATTGCAAATGATGCAAACAATCGAGTTTAATACACAATTTCATTAATTTGAACAATTAAGACTTATCCACTACTATGTTACTCCCTTTGTCCTGCTAAGATTGTCCCATTTTACCTTTTCGGGAAGTCCCACTAAGATTGTCCCATACCAAATTTGGTAAAGATTGTGTGGCTCTAAATCGTTCTTACTTTATTCTTACTTTATCAATTTAATATCAACCACACAAACCCACTTTTCTTAATAATCGTGTCACCTTCTCTTGTCCCAATCTTAGTGGGACGGATGTAGTATTATATAGCTATTCAGCTCGCGTAGTGGAATAAGTTAGGGAAAATTCCCGAAAAAAGAGTAACAACGTTTTGCAATTTTAAAATAGGATTGTCATGTTTTTATTCCCTAAATAGGAGTAATTACTATCAAACTTGGAAAATACTCCAATGTTTAGAGTATGGTAATGCCAAAATATGGCAGTAATTTCTCGTATTTAGGGATAAAAATATGGCAGTCCTGTTTTGGAATTCATAAATGCTTTTACTCCTGTTTAGGACGGTTTCTTAATAAGTTAGTGTTTGGTGAAAATATGGATGAAAAACTGTTAAAAAGGGAAGACAAAAGTCTACCTAACAAGCACTACGTTTCATTGCATTGTTGCAAATATTACTCTTATTTTCCAGGGCCGGGATCTTGTAATTGGGAATATTGGAGACTCTAGAGCTGTACTGGGGACAAGAAATAACAACAATTCTCTAACTGCAGTGCAGTTGACTGTGGATCTTAAACCGAATCTTCCAGGTGCAGACATGCATTGGTTTTTTGTTCATTTTATTTTATTTTATTTTGAACAGATCTAATATTCTTAATTTTGTTGCACCATTTCATGGGAATGGCCCTGCCCTTTGGCCAAATTGAGCTATTCATAATTAATGCCTACATTTTTGTTCAGGTCTTCTAATTTTATAAATTATAACCAAGGAACTTTGCGAGTCTGACTGGTAAATGCATATTCATGAAACAAAACATCATTAACTTAAACCTTGTCTTCCATTTTGTTCCATAATGGTTATAGCTAGTAAGGTTGTACTCTGTACCAAAGGAATACGCATTTATTATTTATGACACACATACATAAGGCTTCGATGTTGTTGTTGTTGTATACTCATTTAATGGCTTCGCATGTTAGGCTTGCAAATCTTTCTGAAATTTGATTTATATAATTATTTTAAGCAAATCTTTCTTATTGAGGGGGTATATGGACTTGAATTTTGTTCCTTCAAATGATACATGGAATGAGAATCAATTAGTACATTCTTCAGGTGTGTAATGATATTTGAAAATAATCAATAATGTGTTTCGGGTGTGATGATTAGATATTGGAGAAGTAGTCCCCTTTTCCAGAACTCGTTTTGATCATAGTTTTTTGTTTCCGTCCATAATAAACAATGCATATCCAGTGGCGTAGCTAGGGGGGCCAACCTAGGCCCCGGCCCACCCCAAATTTCAATTTTGTTTAAATTATTAGGGTAAAAAATTTCCATAAGTATTCTTTCTACCGGCTCACCCCAATATTCTGCCCTGCTTACGCCACTGCATATCCCTTATAAAAGAAAAACAATGCCCCACACAATTTTATACTCACCTTGTGTCCCTGTCCCATTTATATGTCCTACCCTTTTTGGTCTGTCCTACCTTTAATTTTCTAATTTGAACACCCCTAAGTTGGAAGTAATTTAACCTCATTGGCCCTACCCAAGGGATAATTTGGTAAAGTGAACTACATTTTACTTGTTTTCGCTAAAAACCAAGCTCAAGGCAAATGTTCCTTATCCAATGGCATGTAAAGAGTTTTTAAGTAAATGTATACATTTTTATCTTGTTTAAATATACAACTAAGCGCATATACAGTTGCCCACACACGCAATTTTGGTTCTTTTTCTAAAATTTAACGAACTCAGCAAGTTGAACCATAAATTCAGCCATTTTTGTCAAATTGCTTTGTAATTTCTGATTAATTAAAATACCCCAAGGCTTTACGTAACAATAAATGATCAGACAAGTTTGCGGATTCCCAGCGCTTTATACAGCTTTGTATTTTAAATTGTACCATCTTGAGAAAGGAAAAAATAGTACTTATTATTTTCTTCAATGAGAAAAGGGTCAAATAAGGCCTTCTACTATTATTAAATAGTCACATAAGGCCGTGTACTCAACAAAGTGTCATATAAGTATCTCTACTTGTAAAAAGCAACCAAATGAGTCCTAATGACCTATTTAACACATCTTAATCCCTGTTTCAACGTACTTCTGACCATCTTTTTTGAATACATTATACGGCATATGTTGAATATTTAACTAAGATTGGTTGAAATACAAGCCAAAAAAATCGACATGTTAGCTAAAATCGGGATTAGGAGGTGTTAAATAAGCCGTTAGGACTCATTTGAATGCTTTATACAAGTAGAGGTACTTATATGACACTTTATTGAGTACATGGTCTTACGTGACTATTTCATAATAGTAGAAGGCCTTATTTGACCATTTTCTCTTTCTTCAATTGATAATATACTCCAAAATTATGAAGCGTAAATAATTTCTTTAACAGTTAACTTCTTGCCTTTCCTTTTCTGATGTAACCAGTGGAAGCAGAGAGGATCAAAAAATGTAAGGGACGTGTTTTCGCCCTTCGAGACGAACCAGGCGTACACAGAGTGTGGCTGCCAAATGCTGACTCTCCTGGCCTTGCCATGGCACGTGCTTTTGGCGACTTTTGTCTCAAAGATTTTGGTCTCATCTCTGTCCCAGAAGTTTCATATAGGCGCTTGACTGAGAAAGATGAGTTTGTTGTCTTGGCTACTGATGGGGTATATGACCTAATTCCTTTCCTGCACTGAATCAGGTTCCATATGTTACTCAGAAAATGATAGAGAATGAAAGTTGGAAGGAAACAAATGTGGGTCAAAAAAAACCCGAGCTCAATAAATCAATTTTGGATAGTTGTTCAAATTCATTTTTTACAACTGTTCAAATTCATTTTATTTAAATAAACATTACGTAATTGGTCAAATTCATTTTACTTAATATGTCTATTATATAATACTATGTATACTTTAGGTAATTTTCTCAAATCCCTATATATTTTAATTCCTAATACATTTCCCTGGTGTTATCTGTGTTCTAACTTCCAAACGGATCCCTGATCAAATATTTTATAGTAGTATATCCTTGCATTTTATTAACTTTTGTTGACACACATGCTTGCACGTACATATAAAAAATCACCAAGACCATTCATTCATGAATTAAGTTGTCCAGATATGGGATGTTCTCTCTAATGAAGAGGTAGTGAAGACGGTGGGGTCATCAACACGTTCATCTGCAGCAAAAGTGCTGGTTGAAACCGCTGTCAGGTCGTGGAGGACCAAATACCCTAATTCCAAAGTGGATGATTGTGCCGTTGTTTGCCTCTTTCTTGATTCAGACGATGCATCTCCCATTGCAATCAAACATAATGAAATCACCGATGAGAAGAAGGCATTTAATGCCGCTGCATCTATTCCAAAGGAGGTACAACTATCAGAAGAAGATGAAGGGGAAGAAGATTTTGGGGAGGAAGATCGCGAGGTGAATGAGGATGACGAGGAGGAAGTGGATGCGATAGAGTGGTCTGCACTTGAAGGGGTGTCTCGTGTGAACACCCTGGTGACCTTGCCCAGGTTTGAGGTGCCAGCCGGGAAGGAGGACAAGAAGAAGAAGCAATAAAGTAGAGAGGACTCTGTGCCTAAGTACTCAAACCAATTTGGTTCTTTTATTTTGGTTTCTCTCACGTTATATCTCTGGGGATAGTTTTGTTATAATTGCTCGACATGGGGGGTGTAGGACTACATTCATTATATGCACTACTAGGGTGGGGAGGGGGATGCCGGGCTATATTAGCGTGTCTGGGGTCATGGTTTTTTCTCTTATTTGATTATGAAGTGGAATTTTGCTAAATATACAACTTGATACCCTTGGGGAAATGGGGATTGTGTAATTTGGACCAACAATTTATTGTTCAGCTTTCTGTTTTTTTTTCCTCATTACTTTGATAGTCCACATTTATTTATGGTTATCTTGCTTCGTTTTCAAGAATGTTTTATTGTTGGGTTTTCAAGATTATGTGTAATTGGAATGGACATGAATATCTTATTCTGCATTACTTTTGGGGTATTTTTTGATGGAGTACTTTCTTTTGGGTTCTCCAAGGTTCTAGGGCAAATGGTTATTTCAACTTTCATGTATAAATTTGGAGTTTGTTGGACACACCTCATTGGCTCATCTGCCTTTTTATGGTTCCAAATTCTGCAAATTGTATTGTACGTTCGGTTGTACCATGCTCATGGTACAATCATGCTTTTTATTGAAGTTGTGCTTCGCTCATCACCGTTACATAGATCGATGACTTGCTGCTCACACCTAGGGTTGCCGTCGCACCCAGACGGCTCAATTCTCGACGTATGGCTTGTTGTTCGCACCTAGATGGCTAGGTGCTCGTCTCACACTAGATCTCTTGCAGTCTTGCTAACTCGATGGCTCCTAGCCTATCGAACTCAGCCGACCACCGCGTGTCAGATTGGAGTTCTTCATGTCCAAATTGTAACTTGTTCACATGGTCTCAACTCTCAATATTCAATAGTGGAGAACACAATACTCAATCAAGATGTTTTGATGCTCAATGTAGAGTTGCAATGCACAATGAAGATGTTTGATTATATAGTCTTAATGTTCAATAATAGAGATTAGTAAACACAATACTCAATGAAGATGTTTTGAAGTTTTGAAAATTTTATACTCAATTGTAGTGTCTCGATGCTTAATAGAGGAGATTTGATGCTCAATGCAAATATTTTGATTCTCAACTAAGAGAGTTTATGATTTTAATATCAATGCATATTTCAAAATTATAATATTAAATTAAATCAACGTAATGAAATTCATAGGAGATGATTATAGATATAATTTATGAAAAACAAAATAAGAAAAAGAAAGTGAATTAGAAGATATGAAGCAGATGTTACGATACTAAATATTAAACTCTTAATGCTCAACGGAATAGGCCTGATGATCAATACAAATGCATTGATACCCAATTAACAGAAGTCGTATTTCTAACAAAATTACAAAAAACCATCAGCTATACAATTTACGTTGCACAATCGGTGGTACGGTATACGAAGGAAGACACCCCTCAATCAAGAGAAAGGAATTCGTGAAGAAGGAGGTCAACATGCTCCTCAGTATCAAACACATTCGGGAGGTCCTATAGCCGGTGTGGCTGGTGAACGTGGTCTTGACCCCGAAGCCGCCAACCTGGAGTATGTGTGTTGACTACACTGACCTCAACAAGGCATGTCCGATGGACCTATTCCATTGCCTAACATCGATCAATTAGTCGATGAGACGACCAAATGTGAGCTCCGTAGCTTCATGGATGCCTTTTAAGGGTACCGCCAGATTTGTATACATGAAGACAGTGTGGAGAAGACCTCATTCATCACCTCGGAGGGAATTTTTTGTTGTCTTGTCATGGCCTTCGGGCTGAAAAATTTTGGGGCGACATACACGAGGATGGTGGCCAAGGTATTCCAGAAGGTGCTCAGAAGGAACATGGAGGCATACGTCGATGAAATGATCGTCAAGAGCACCTAAGCGGCCAACCATGCCGATGACTTGGCAGAGATCTTCGGGATCATGAAGGCAGTTTGGCTACGCCTGAACCTGAATAAATGTACCTTTTCCGTCCAGGGAGGCAAATTCCTATGGTACATGGGTCATCCAAAGGGGGACTGAGCCAAATCCCGAGAAGGTAAGAGCAATACTTGACATGGAGCCCCCAAAATCGGTGAAAGAAGTCCAGATTCTCACCGTTCGACTGGCCGCCCTCGGACACTTCATGTCCAAGTCTGCCGAGAAGTCTCTACCTTTCTTCCAGGTTTTGAAGAAGCGGAACTGCGGAACGGTTTCGTCTGGACCGACGAGTGCCAGTAAGCCTCTGAAGATTTGAAGAAGTACGTCCTCTCTAAGCCCTTACTTAGCAAGCCGGAGAGCGGGGGGACATTTATCCTATACCTCGGCGTTTCTCAGGGTGCAATCAGCTCCATGCTGGTTCGCGAGGAGGAAGATGTTCAACATCCTGTCTACTATGTATGTAAGACCCTCAGAATGCTGAGCTCCAGTACACCCTGCTCGAGAAGACAATTTATGCCACCCACATCACCGCCAAGAAGTTGATACACTACTTCCAGGCACATCTGATCATAATCATGTCGGGCCAACCTCTAGGTGTAGCTCTGAGGGAACCCGGCACAACCCGAGTGGTGAAATGGTCAATGCTCCTCAACCAGTATGAGGTTGACTTCCAGCCTCGGACATCCATCAAAGGTCAAGCTCTGGCTGATTTCATTGTGGAGTGCACAACCCGAGAGGTGACAAAGAAGAAACATAAGAGCAACAAGCAGTGGTGGACCCTAACAACCGACGGGTCAACCGGAGCGAAAGGGTGCGGGGGCGGAATCGTCCTCATCTCACCTAAGGGGATCCGAGACTACTATGCCTACCTCTATCTTTCAAAGTCTAAAAAATGAAGTGGAGTACAAGGTCCTACTGTCCGGGCTACGACTAGCGGCCGCTATGGGAGCAGAATGCAACTCCTCACTGGTCGTTTCCCAAGTCAAGGGTGAGTGCAAGATGATGTTCGGGAGTTGCTCAGACTATTCAAACAGGTGGAATTGGTCTGCATCCCAAGAAACCAAAACTCGAACGCTGACCTCCTCTCGCGCTTATCTCAAGGGCTGCCTGAACACATTTCGAGAATTGCATGGATTGAGGAGATGACGACCTAAAGCATAGCAGCCTCACCGTACGTCGACGTCCTCCCCTGCAACTGGCCGCCTGGTGCTGGGTGGATGACCTCCTGTGCTACATAGCCAACGAGACGCTACCCGACGAAGAGGGGGAGGCGAGGCTCATCCGATGGCGGGCTTTGGGCTACGTCGTCTTGAACGGGAAACCATACAAGAGATCCTACAACGAAACCCTGCTAAAGTGTTTGCGCCCACATGTGGTATATATGGTCGACTCTGAGCTCCATGGGGGCGTGTGCTCTGCCCACCGAGGGGCTTGTATGATAGCAAGGAAGGTCGTCCTTCAGGGATACTTCTGGCCGACGATAATGAAGGACTTCGCCGACTATGCACTGAGATGCAAGACATGTCAAAAGTTCCAAAAGAGCCCGGACGGTCGTCAACGATGTACACGCCGATCATCACCGCCCTTCCATTCACGAGATGGGGTGTCGACCTCGTCGGTCCCTTGCCAACTGGGTCGAGAAACCGGATGTTTATCGTTGTTGTGGTGGACTACTTCACGAAGTTGGCTGAGGGTGAGCTGCTCGCCAACATCACACATCTCCAATGTAAGAAATTTATATGGAAGAATATTTTTTGTTGGTTTGGGGTTCCCATCCAAATAATCTCCGATAACGGGAGACAGTTTGACTGTGAGGCCTCCCGGTGATTCTGCGCAGAGTGGGGCATGGAATCCTGTCGGGTTGTGGTCTGCTACCCTCAAGCAATGGACATGTGGAGAACACCAAACGGATAATCGTCGATAGATTGCAAAAGAAGTTAGAGGCCTTCGGGACTGCCCGGGTGGAACGAGTTGAACAATATACTCTGGACCTTCAGGACGATCTCGAGGAAGGCAATCAGGGAGACCCCATATACCTTGTGTTACGACTTTGAGGCAAGAACACCATTCGAGTCCGTAGTCCCCAACCGTAGGGTGGAAGAATGTGAACCAGCCATCAATGAGGAGAGGCTCCAAGCCAAGCTCCACCTCTTTGAGGAAAGAAGGGACTACTGGGCCTTCATCAAAGCAACTATCAGTGCCAAGCCAAGGCGTACTGGGATAGCCGAGCTCGACCCCGAAGCTTCGACGTCGGCGATCACGTCTTGAGGTGCAGGAAGGCCTGCAAGCCGAGGGAGGGAGGTAAGCATTCCATCAAGTGGGAAGGCTCCTATGTGGTCGACATTGTGGTCGGCCCCGGGACGTACAAGTTGAAGATAACACCAGGACAGCTGGTGTCAACCCCATGCTCGGATTGACAAATTTTAATCCCATGCTTGGAACACAGGAATTTACCTTGCTCTCTAGAACTCACGTTTTGGGCAAGTTGCCCCATTTGGACTTCAAGATTCCGTATGGATGTCTTGGTATATTGTTCAATGTTGTCGATGTGAGGGTTGAGCTTCATGTTTTGGTCTTCAAAACGAAGATCTAGCTTGGTGAATTGAGAGTGGAGATTCCTGATGGATGCCTCCACTCTACTATGATTTTCTTCATTTTGGGCCTTCATGCTTGTCATGATCTTGGATATGAATTGCATCATATCCTCCATGGTGGTCTCCTTGAACTGCCAAAAATTAGGTTCTCCAAATTGAGGTTGTGAAGAACTTGCTTGAGGCTTCCAATTGCTCCCTTGGTTCCACCTTTGTTAATTAGAAAAACTATTGTTCCTTCAATTTCCATAAGAGTTCATGAAATTGACCTCCTCAAGATATTGAGATAAATCACATTTCGGGTCTTGTATGCTCTCCACATTAGCTATTTGCTTGACACCTCCCAATACGACTTGTAGAGCCGTTCGGAATTTCTGCTAATTTTTTTTATTCCATTTCTTCAAGGCTTGTGTTGATCTCGATTGTGATAGAGATTTCATTCATTTTTGTTTTCAATGTAGCCCTTGGCTCAGTTGTATACAATGGCTTGACAAGGTGCATTCAAACCATTGTAGAACGTATCAAGTTGAAGATCAAGGGGAATGCGGTGGTGTGGGCATTATCTCAGCAATGATTTACAATGCCGCCATGCGTTTTGAAAGAGCTCTCCATTTTATTGTTTGAAATTGAAAATTCGTTGCCTAAGCTCTTGAGTAATGGTAGGCGTGTAGTATTTAGACATGAAGGCATTGTAGATACCTCCCTAAGTTGTGTAACTAGCCGGATCTTGCTCTATAAACCATCCCCTTGCTGCCCCTTTTAGAGTGTAGGAAAAACATTTGATCTTGAGTTGATCCTCCGCCAAATCGTTTCTAGGGATTCCTTGAATGAATCCGTAAAATTCAGTGATAAAGTGTGGTGAATTTTCCCCTAGAAAACCATGAAACTGAG